TTGCTAGATTGAAATCAATACATAATGTAAATAATGTATACAAACAAAACTTTTAAGTAAAATATAGAGTATGTTCTAAATGAAGTATATGTTTGAGTCTGAGACTTAACTTCAACAAATTTAAATAAAAAGTTAATAGTTATCGATAAAATGTAACTAAATAAAGTTAAACAGTTAAGAGTCTAAAATGTAACTAAGTTAAGTTAAAATTATTTAACTTTTCAACTTTTTAATTAACTTTTAGCTTTTTAACTTGGCACTACCCAACCCTGCATCTTAAGACAGTCTTAAATATAAGAATCAATTATAAATACCAGCCTAAAAAAGGCCGGTATTCATAGTCGATTCTTATTTCAAGACCGTCTTAAGTAATGTCTTAAGACGCTAATGCAGCCCTCTGATTTGTTCGTGACTTTTTAAGACCGTACTTAAGATGGTCTTGAATATAAGACCTGACTATGAATACCGACCTAAGACTTCTTTCCTAAAATCTCATTTTTCGTCCGTTGCCTCGAATTCAGTGGATCCGCGCTATGGATCATCTTACGATGAAATATCTTACAACGGTAGGAATCGCTGCGCGCGAGCTACCGACACCACGAAAGGATCTCGCTCTCTCCGCCGTGACGAAACACCTATAATTAGAGCAGGTATTCGGGTGAAAATTATAGAGGGGGAGAGAACGCAACGGGTCCGAGAGAGGATGAGACACGGAGGGTGAAATGCGGACAGGGGCGAGGGGTACGGGTAGGAACACAGGATACGGGGAGGATGAAAGAAGCCGTAGCCTCGTCGTGACCGAAGTCAGGAGGAAAGCCAAGCAAGTGAGTTAGGCTCTTTCACTGCCTAAACTCTCTAAAAGTCTAAAACTCTATCGACGATCTTACTTCAATTTATTCTCCAAAATCTCCGTCGTGTTTATTCCTTATTAATTAATTAAGGTACCATATTGATTCAATTCGCATGTTCCTGATTTCTATAAATATTTCGGCGTAAACAACATTTTTTTTTATTGATTTTTTCAAAACGATGACAAGATATCTACCTATTGAATTATCTTATTGAAATTATATAACGTTATTTCGCAACCTTCTTTGATGGATACACATGATGTCAATTTTTCCTTTAATGAAGACATCGACGTCGTAATAATTCGTGTTACAAGCGATTGAAATTATAGGGTGCTCCTTGCAAATTACATTTCGTCCAGAAAAGATAATAAAATCACAGTCTTCAATTAATTTTAACAGAGTTTTACACAGGACCGGCGCTCCACCTTTCGTTAAATTTTACGCGTGAGGTAAGTCTGACAATCCGCGTATGTGATTGAGTATCTTGCTACTTACCTAACGCGTAAAATAACAAAAAATAACCTAAATGTGGGCTAATGAGAGTCAGCGCGAGTGAAGGTGCGCGATAAATCTTTACAAATAAAATTTGTTACTTCGTATGATGTGTTGATCTCATCTTTATTTGAAATATTGACATCTTGAACGTTTCGATTCTCTTTGGAATCTTCATCAGCAAATTTCTTAACCAAATAAAATTTCAACGATCGTCCGATGTAAAGTCACTCCAGATAGAGTGGACGAAGTTTGAACAAAGCTACATCGATTGTATTACAAAATGTTATTTGAGTTCAGTGTGAATATTAATATATTATCCAAGGTTTCATGATGAGATTTGGCGATCGTGTGGATAACGCTACAGTTTTGGCAACCTGCGAGTGACTCTACATCGGACGATCGTTGAAATTTTATTTGGTTAAGAAATTTACTGATGAAGATTCCAAAGAGAATCGAAACGTTCAAGATGTCAATATTTCAAATAAAGATGAGATCAACACATCATACGAAGTAACAAATTTTATTGGTGAACATTTATTGCGCACCTTCGCTCGCGCTGACTCTCATTAGCCCACATTTAGGTAATTTTTTGTTATTTTAAGAAGAGAGAGTCCTTGTTTAAGACATTTATTAATTTCTAACGCGTAAATTTACCGAAAGCAGAAACGGCCCACAGTTTTGCAATGTCCCGAATATATTGAATTACAATGTTGATTCTTCAGTTCCTTGGTGCATGATTGTAACGTGTGATCGGTAATTCGATAAATTAATCCGAGGGTTTACCGATAATTTGTGTTGGCACTTACTAGCAATTTCGTTAAATGTAAATCGGCCAGACTGCCTCGCTTTCTTGCCTCGATGCCTTTAAACGCCTGGCGATCTCGTTCTCCTAAAAGCCTCGAACGCATCGGCTCCACATTGTTTTCAATTCTTTCAGCTCGAGGGGTTCGATTAGTAGCACCGTTCTTATACGAGCAACGCTCGTTTACACGGTAAATCTTAATGAGAATCGAGGGTGTGGCTTTAGGGCTCGGAAGCGCTCCCAGCTGCCCTTAGGGCACCACCGGGAAGGAGATGGTGGTCATGGTGTATATCGATGAGAGCGAGGGTCGTTCGAAAAGTGGCTAAAACACACTCACCATTTGGAATAATAGTTAACGTCATCGATACGCAATAATTGGCAACGTAATCGTACAATCTTGTGCAGCGTATCTCGGTTTTATCCCTTCAAGGCACAATAAAAACGCATATAATTTCTTCACTCATTTTTTTTGACCGAACACTCTTACAAAACACTACAAGATCTCTTGACTGCAAAGTCCCAGATGTCTTCATCATTTAATCTTATTTTTTGATAAAATAATTAGAATAAAATATATTTGTGTTATTAAATTTTATATTAGCACTTTAAATGAGAACATTCGACACGAACAAACGTACTAGTACAATTATAGATTACGAGACGGATTTTCACCGACGGGGGAATAAGTATTTAGAAAAAATGACAGAACACGTTGTAACCACTTTATCCACCGTTACTTTCGTTTTCATCTGCTGCCCGTTTTCTGAAGCATCCGTCAGTCGTAAAGGAACTGATGATGGTTCATCCAGGGTGCAGCTTTCATAGGGACGGTGCGTGTAACGTTTATTATTTATTTGCGGCCGAGAATACAGACGGTGCCGGCATCAGCAGTCAGCAAGACTCGTCAAGGCTCCGTCGACCAGCTATTTCAGGTTTGTTTGGGTACGGTTTACGGCCCTTCCGAGAGCGCGTTTTACGGATACTCAACGACCGCGAGTCTAGTCTACCCCACCTTTTCGTCGTTTCGGTGTGTTATCTTGTGTACTCTTGAAATGTCGCTGGCGTTTCTCGTAACCGGGATTACCGTCGCTTATATGGGGCAAGATCGAAATATTTCTAACAGACGGATTCGATCGCGATGATGAGTCAGGAGTAAGAGCAGGAGCGGGACTCGCGTTTCTGTGACCACATCGTGAGAAACGGTGTTTACGATGAGGATGAGCTTCTCGTCAAACAGTTGAGATTCTCTCTAGTACCCCTGATCGAAACAGTCGCCCGATATTGCGGTCCGTCCAGAGTAAAACGAAGCGCACGCTGTATTTCGCATATTCCTCGCGAAGAGAGACACTCGGTATCGGTATCCGATAGATTCCTTTTGTCCGAGTAAAAGCGTCACCCCGGATCTATGATAGAATTTTAAGCCTTAAACCATAAGGAATAGACGAATCACAATCAATTATTTTTCCCGCATTCAAGCGTTGTTGATCAATTTCTTATGGCTTAAAGCTTAAAACATTTATTGTAGATCCGGATTCAAGGAGTGTTTCTGTACTGCCTTAACTAGTTCATTATAGTAATGACTCATATATAATGGGCTTTCTACAATAAGCTATTACTTAAGTTTTAAGTCTTAAATCATAAGACATTAACTAATCACAGTCGAATGTGAGAAGAAAAATCGATTATGTGATTGGTTAATTTCATATAGCTTAAGACTTAAAGTTTGGGTAATGACTTATTG